AATATCTCATTAGTGAGTTTTCATGTATTGCTCTGGTAACTGTTTATTTTTTTGTGGACTAGAGGTCTTCCTTACGATCTGGGTTCTTCCAAGGATTGCTAAAAGAGCATTGCTAGCTGTGGGAATGAAGAGGGCATTCAGTGGGAGTGGGCTCATGTCCAAGGTGCTTGCAGATGTACTCCTGAACCCTCACTGCAAACTTTAGCAGAAGGGCTGGTACATAATGAGCTTGTTGAATATACAATTGAAATAACTAAATGCTGTTGAACTGTTTGGCTTTCAGCTCCTGCAGGCAGTTGAGGCTCCTTTTGAGCCTTTGTGTTGGAAGCTACGTTCTTGCAGAGTGTTTGACTGTGTTGCAACAAACCTGGTTACTGATGCCCAAGCATACTTTGATTGATGCACAGATCAAATGACTGTTGGGAGTGGCTTTTGGGGTGACGTCCCACGTACAATGATGTCAGCAAAAGATTTTAAAAAATTCAGGTGTGGCATAATCTGCCAATTAAACTGATTAGTGCTCTGGCTGAGTCCTGAGAAGGAGCTCGGGCTCTAGAGCCCTGCTTATTGAAGTATTTTTAGTGCCTTTGTCTCGCCTTGTACTAGACTTTTATCTAATACCTTCACTGCAGCACCTGTAAATTGAGGTAGGATACCATATGAAGGGCTATGTGCTAGCTTTCTTGCTGTCAGGGGGAATCTGCTACCAGCTCACAAATGTCCCTGACTGCTTGGAAGCTGTGACACTGGAAGAGGTCCCGTGACTCTCGTGGGATCAGGATGGAGTGCCTCGCTGCTCTGTTGGCAGAAGTGAAAGCTAGCCAGGAGGTGATGCAGGCTGGACAGAAGGAACTAAAGCGTGATGTGGAAACATCTCAAAAGGAAATCAGAACAGTGCTGGCACTACAGAGGAGCCAGCAACAGGTGAAAGAAGATCTCAAAGCAGAAGTGAAGTCCAGTCACATGGATATAAGAACTGTGCTTGAGGAAATCCAGCGAGTAAGAGAAGAAATGGAAGCTCGATTAAATACTGAGGCTGATCTAGTCTTACTGATCAAAGAAGTGAGCAGCAATTTAACATGTGTAGACAAGGCTTTCCAGAAAATGGAGGAGAGGCAGAAAGTCTTTACCAGCCTGCATCTTCCTACAAGAGAAAATGTTGAGCAAGGATTTTTCTTTGAAAAATGCTTACACAAGACATACATGGGTTTGGAAAAACCTGTGGAAGCTAACAGTTTGGATGAGGAATGTGAAAAGAAGGTGCTTAGGGGTAAGACAATGGTGAATGCAAAAGTGTGGGGAAAGAAGTGAGGTTGTTCCTACTTGTGCTTGTCAAGTAGCTTATTTAGGCTATTTGGAATGTTTTTAAGATATGTAAGGTTTTTTAGAAATTGGATCTGTTAATTAAAGTAATGTCTATCTAGCATAGACATTACTACAGAGACCTTCCTAGTACATGATAAGCAAAGGTAGGCTTTGATTTGGCTCTGCAAACCAGAAAGTGGGTGATAGATGTTTCATCTGGTAATCCAGCAACAGTGCACAAGAGAGGCTCAGGAAACCAGCAGTACTGGGAGAGTTCAGAGATAGCCAGCCAAGTACAATGTTAAGTACTGGGCAGTACCTCAGCACTTAACTGTAACTTTAAGGAGCGCAACCTGATGTACAGACCATTGTGTATTTCTTGTATTTGAACGCCTATTAAGCAGAGAAGCTACGTACGGGAAACGGTTTGCTTTATGGAAAAGCTTGGGATGGGTCTAACGTTCTCCCCAGAGAACTGGAGTCAGCTGCTGCCATCCATGTAGCGACTGTAGAGGGAGTTGGGAGGATTTTTTGGATCTTTTCCAATGTCATGGGGTATTCGTTTTGCCAGGGAGATACCGAATCTTCTGTGAATGATTCAGTGATTAAAAGGCTTAGTCTTTGTAAAATCATTGCTGGTTTGTGTGGGGTTTTTGTTTGTTTGTTTGTTTGTTTGGGGTTTTTTGTTTGTTTTTTTTTTGGTTTTTTTACTGGTATGAAGAAGGATAGGGACTTAAATGGTGGTTCTGTCTGGTTACTATGCTACATGTGGTACTTGAGAACCTGATTTCTAGTCTTCAGAAACTAAGCATTTCAGCTAGACTGGGTATGGTGTTTTTGAGCCTGTTGGAGAAGAGTCCAGATCCTAACTTAAGGGTGGAAATTGTTCTGCTTTACAAGTCTGACATAAAGGTGGCAAGTAAAAAGGCCAAAGTGAGGAAGACTTGGGCTGGTAACCAATACTGTTTTTAAATTAGGTCCATCGCTGATATGGTTGTGTCAGTAATTAGATTCATGATGCTTTTGTTTTAGAGAAAGCATGGCTTTTGTTTTGACATCACAGCATGCCTTCTATTCAAATCTGGAAGCAATCTGTCATTGCCCAGAGGTACGTAGGCCATAAATAAGCATTGGAGTGTCGCTGGTGTTAATCTGTAGCGGCAGTTCATGCTACAGAGGGTTCAAGCTAGCAAAGAAATGCTTTTCAACATTTGAAGTGTCTGTGTATAGCACATGTCTATGATAAAATTGCTTTTGAATGTCACTGAATTTCTCTAGTGCATGGTTTTTGTTGAGCTTTTTTTAGTATAGTATCCAGGGTTGGCTTGGTTGGATGTTTGAATGAGCTTCTAGGAAAAGACTTGGTAGTCTGGGCACCATGATAAAAGCAATGGTGTGAAACTGGCAAACTGATAAAGGCTGGCTGAACTCTGGAAACAGTGAATATCTGGAGTCTTGTGTCACTTGTGGCTAGCTGTTATATCACTGTATTTAAATGAAATAACTGCATTAGGTAGCAGTATATGGTGTAATTTTTTTTTTCAGAATAAAAATTGTCTGCAAACGTTTTTCAGGCTTAATGCAGTTCTGTCAGAGTCCTACAAGTGGACATAAAAGTCATTTCATATAGTTAATTAAATGATGACATTAGCAGCTCTATCAGTGAATTTACCCAGTACCCTTAAATCAAGAAGAGTGCTCTAGTTCTCTGTTTGTTGTAATGGAGCATTCAGGAAGGGAGGTGGAATATATGAAAGTAGGAGTATGTGAGCCAGTAGGGCAGGGAAGGACTGGCTGGCTGTACATATTTATTCTGTAGTCCTTGCTCTTCCCCCCCCC